TGGAAGTGGCTGGAATTCCGGGTTCTGTTCAGAACAAGCAGCAGCGCAGCAAGGGGAATGTGTCCTGCCTCATCATGCACATGCAAAAAGGATGGATTTATCCTCATGTTGCTTTGCCATCCTCCCCCTACAAATCACCAAAATTGCTCAGTTTTGAAGCAAAGCTTAGGTTATAATAATGGGGTTTAAGATAAGAATCTAGTACAGCAACCTCCTATGTTGATGCAAACAGAAAACAGTGCTGGGGACAACATGACTCGAGAATCCCGTGCAGTTCCTGTAGGCTGGAATACTGGGAGTTAGATTTTATGTATTTACATTTCCTTTTCTCTCCCTGTAGTTATCATCTCCTTTATTTTCCATAGAACCGCTCCAAGTTCCTTTTGACAGTAGTTTTTCTTCTTATGTTTCTTTTAGACTGCCTGTGACTATAAAACTTTTATGAACCACTTCAGACATGCCGTTTTGGGGGGATATATACATACCTACAGAACAAACAGGCATTATGCATACTAAATGCATATCACTAATTATAATCTCCCTGCCGATGCCAATCATAAGAACAAGTTAAAGCCATTGAAAAGGGGAGAGTGAAAAACGCATCTGCGGTTGGCAAGGTAGGTGTACTTGACATGTCCTTTTATTAATGCTAATTATAGAGATCCCACAAATGGATGTCAAACAGTTCCAGGGTGTTTTGCTAAGAAATTTCTGTGATGGCAAAGGGAAGAACTCCACCTCAGCAGCTCGTTTCTTCTTGTTTGTTTTACTATTTTCACTGTTTTACTTTTAGGGTCACCAAGGAAGAAAGCGAGAAAGAAAAATCCCTTCTGGCCTATGGTCAGTTGCTGTTTGCCCCTCAGCTGGAACAGAGGGCAAATACACCCAGAATCTGCTTTATTCAAATGAACTGAGAATGAATTAAATGGGAGCAGTAGGACTAATTGCAATGGCTGGCTGGCTGAGTCCCTACATCTCCTTTGCAGCACAGCCTGCATCTCCCACCTCTCACTCTGGCTCTAAGGACCATTCCTCTTCATTCTGCTCCACAAGCATTTTCCTAAGTGTTGCAGCTCATGATCCTCCAGGGTCCCAGTGCAGCCAACTGCCCTTACTCAGCAGATCAAACATAGGCATCAATATTTGCTCAGGTTCTACTGGGTTTGATCAGACCAATGCAGGGGTTGGAAGGGAACAGGAATGAAAAGCATCCGACTGTCCCATCTCTCCCTCTCTGAAGGGAAAGCTTGCTTAATCCCCACTGGTAAAGAATCAGAGAAGCCACAGCCTTCCCATGACACCCTGGATTTATGCTGATAGAGGAATAAGAGATCCATCATGATGGGACATCTCATTGAAATAATGTTACCTATTTCTGCTCACACCCAGGGCACTCCTACATGCTCACACCTTTAAACACTGACACACACCCCTCTTTTTATGCAGGATTCCTCAGCTCTTGCAGCTCCTGCAGCACATCATAAGGTATTAAGGCAAAGACACAGCACACTCTGCTCTTTAACCCTTCACATCCAAATGGCTCTCTTCCTCCCTGGTTCAAACCCATAGACCAAGGCTGTTTCCCACCCAGTCCAGTTTATTGCTACAACAAGCCTGGGTGCCTTAAACTGAGGCCAGAGAGTGATGGCAGCCTGTTTATTTGGAAGTTAAGAGTCTAATTGGCAGCAGGTATAAACAGAGATAATTCAGTGCATGGCCCAAGAACCCGGCCACGTTAAACACCAGAAATGGGATATTTTAACAGGAGAATCAAATGCATCACAGATTCCTCATTAATTGCCCTTGCACAGCTGTCAGCTACTACCAGAGTTTAACTAGACCACATGAACAAACAAGTCAGTAAACCCTTTGCCCTTTCCCTCCCTATCACCCACTTGCCGCACAAACACTTCCTTACAGCGGGAATTCCACAGCCTTGCACAAATCTGGGTATGTTAGAACCCAAGCCCATCCTTTCCCTTCATGTAAATGGAATCATCAGCTCCATCCATGCCCCTCATCACACGCTCAAGTAAATGGACCAAACCTCAATGAGAACAACGCAGCTGCATGTGCTTATAGCATCCGAGAACTTGGGCTGAGGCCCAGAGCCTCCAAAGAGGCTGAATTGCCTGATTTCTATTGAAATAACTTGGGGTTAGACACCTAAATACCTCTGAAAAGCCAGGCCCAATGTTGTTGTGCTGTATTTTTAATTAACTAATGTAAGCCCAGACAGAATTAGTATTAAAAGCTCTTAATGGGCTATTCTGTAGTAGTGCACTCGGGGCTTATTGCTCTTGACTGGCTAATAAATTATATTTTTATTTGCCAATAAAACAATAAGAATAATTTCTGTTATTCCACTTGCAGATGAAGTGATTTCTTCCCTCACAAGTGTTGGCAAATGCTAGAATAAGCTCTGGAATACCAAATGATTTATATATCAATAGAGAAGCAGTGGGGAAAAAATACCCCGAGCAAACAAAAGCAGCAAGAACAAGTTGTAATCTGCAGCTCAAATCCATTACATTGCAGTTCCCCATCAGGGATGGCCTGCTAGAGACTGTCTCAAGGCAAGCATCTGCTGACCTCCACAGCACGTAGGATTTACTGTATGAAGCCAGGAGAGGAGGAGCTGGAGGAGCATGAGAGTTTTGGCTCCGTCACAGGTAGCTGAGCAGTGGTTTTGGAAGCTATATGAAGCTTTGGAACAATAAATGATGCCTTTTGGTAAGGTCTCTTGGGCCAGTCTGTCACCCATCTGCTTCTGCAAGCAATGGCACAATGAGGAAATGCAATAAAACTGCAGAAGAACTACTCATTTATACTCAATAGCACAGGTAACCTCCTCAGAATATACTCAATTCCCACCTCAGGCACAGCTGATAGTACTGCCAGTGGGTGAGCTCCAGCAAAATCACCTCTTAGCATTCATGTTTCCCCATAGTGTGAATTAAAGGCAATAACCCTGAGCTCCCCAAGTGTAACAACCCCTTTCTGCAATGACATGATTATCCTTTACCATTCAGCACCATTTTCAACAATGATAATTTGTCCAGGCCAGGCACAGATGCAGACATTAACCTTTATGAAGAACGAGAGTGAAGGAAGGAAAGAACACCAATATTGCATCTGACCATAAAGGCATTCAGTAGGTGTCAGATGGCATATAACATTTTGTCACAACATTACACTGCTATTCACTATGACATCCTCAACTTATCAATTCATAATAACACCCAGCTAGCTCCAATGAAAATATTTACACTGACTTTCCCCTCAATATCCTCACAATGTTTTACCACAAAGACAAGCTCAGAAATCATTTACTACAGGTATCATTAAACTCATCTTTGCCCCGCTGGAGCCTGAAAACCAGCCAGGGAAACATGAGCTTTTATTGCATGAAGTTACTTTATACACACACCTACAATACTGCTTGTTGAATGCAGATGATGGGGATCTCCACAGGGGAGCTTTAAGCAGCTCCTGAGATAAAGCCATCCCCAAAGCCATATGAACACACTAAACAGGCTACTCTGAAACAAGCAAGCAGTTATTTCCATTCAGATAGAGATGAGTTTGTAGAAGGGTTCTAAACAAGCTGAAAGGGATTGCCAGAACCACATCCCAAAGCAATTGCTGCACCCAAAGCTACAAGGCAACATACACCAAAACACCTGCATCTCTTAAAGCACAGGGAACCATTGGTCTTTATCAGAGAGACAAAACAGCACAAAGAACCTCTTACCTCTAGTCCATAGTGCAAACTGTGGAGCTCCAAGAAGAAAGTTGCCTCTTCATCCTCAAACTCAGACCTGGGATGCTGCCTGCAGCCTGGCTTTGGGCACTGCACCTCTTGCCCACCTCATTTCCAGAAAATTCTGTTTAATTTGAAACACCTGAGAGCAGGACCCAGCCCTGGGTACCACAACTGTTGCCAATCACAGTAATCATCACCAGCTGGGACAGGGTGGGGTCATCAGCATCGATGTGCAGTTGGAATAAGGAAGCCTTTCTTTTATGTCTTTTTAATTGTGTTATTCTCCTGCAAGCAATGGCAATTCCTTGGATCATTGGGCAGGATCAGGAAGCAGCACCTTGTACCTAGGGGAGATAAAAAAATTAAAGATGTCTGGGTAATTCCTGCTGGCATCACTTGCAAACTGAGCAATCCCAGACTGAGAAATCAAATTTAGCACCTCCATTCTGGACAGGAGTGTTGGGGTATCAGGATTTCAGCACCTTCCAATGTGATAACTGCTGAAAAGAAGCTAATTATGTTCATCGTAATGAAGTTTGGTTTTGAGAGCCTGTGTTTTCCCTCTGAGAACACGAGCTACTCGGAACACAATGTACAGGTCCCTCTGATTCCATGGATTTTGTAGATGTGGATTTCCCATCACTCTGATACTGTGTTAGGGCTGAGGTTTCCCTCACAAATTTGCTTTCTTTTTCCTTCAGGGATTTTAAAGAGGGAGGAAGGAGTATCTTTTTCCACCCCTTACAGTGTTTTCTTGCTGAATTTAGAGTCCTACGTACATTTAATACCATGAGATTAAACTTTTCTCCACTGCATCACATAAATGTGTTTCTGATAATTACAACCACAAGCCTCATTGTTTGGGCTTTTGTGATCATGTTATCCAGTGAAAACCTATATGCTCACCAAGGTGTACTAAAATCCATAGTAAAGTAACCACAGAGTAAGTTACCTCAAACTAAGTTCATAAACTTGGTTCTCCATTACTCCTTTCCTTGCAGAGTCATTTATACCAACAGAAAGTGTGGTCAGAGTGGTTACAATATTCTGCTGGTCTCACTTAGCAGGAGTTTGAGACCCACCTTGGAATCAGGAACATGACAAAGTGCAACACAAGAGAATACAAAATGCCATGAGAGAGGTGATTTGGTCATTTCCATGTATTATATTAGCTCATTTTCCCCATGGACACTGGCAGAGTTGTAGCATAGCACTGGGAAGCATCATGTTCCCTATTCATCTTTTGTACCTATCTTTATGTCTCCAACAACTGAAGCACATGAACAAGAGGACAGCAATGTGTGAGCAAATCCATGCACACACTGTCACTCCGCATGGGTTGATGGCCACAGTAAGTTGGGATGCTTAAGCTCTGCATTGCCAAACAAAACCAATGTTGACCTGTAGATATGAATTTCTGCTGCAGTGACTCATCTACTGCTCTGACCTTCCCTCCTGCTTTCTTTCCTGTTTTATGCTCAGTGCCTCTAGCAAAAGGGTACATTTACAGCTCTCCTGGAAACACAATTAGAGTAAATGGTGGTAAATGATACTGCAGCAACTATAAATGGTTCCAGAAAGACAGCAACATGTGCCACAGAGTATTCTGGCTATAAATATATCTGGAACCAGATTGTCATTTGGTGGATTGGCCTGGTTCAAAGGATGCTGTTGAAATGCTGCCAATTCATGCCAACTGATACCAGTATTTTTGCTGGTAACCAGGCAAAACAGAGCCAACGGTGGTCATTTATGTCCTGGCATTTTTAATTTTATCTTGAGGTTCTGGGGAGAGGAAAAGTATAAAAAGCACTTCCCTCGTGAGGTTTATGTTTGTTCAAGAAAGGCTTAATATAAAGAGAGCCTCATATCATACACACAGAAACTCCCCAAGCTCTTTTGCATGTCGAAAGTACACACGCACCGTGTCCGCTGAGCCCGACTGCAACACTTACAGACTTGTTCTATCAACCTTCTCTAATTAGCTGAATTCAACAACTACCCTTGCCAGAGCGAGGATGAGGATAAAGAAATTCATCTGAGCATCTTGGCACTGATTTCTAACCCCGCTGTTCCCATGCTGGTACACGCTGTTTCAGAACAGTTTGTTACCTGACACCTAATGAAGGAAAATAGGCACATATAGGTGGTTATCCAAAGCCACAGACCTAAAACTAGAGCAGAACAGACTGGGATTATGAAACTGCATCCAGTTCAGAATAAAAACCAAAGGTGGCAGCTGCTTTTTCAAGCTCTCTTGGGAGTCTGTTGTCTGTCCCAAAATATGGGAGGTATTCTCAGCAGGTCCCTTGGAGCCATGGAAACTCTCATTGCCTTCTACGAATTTCAGGTTTCGTTCTTGCATCTGTAAAAGAGCATCAAATCTGTGGCTAGATGGATCACAGCATGCCTCAGCCTTCAGATCTGGGGGCTAAATTGGAGAGGGGAGGGCAGGGAACACTCCCATGTATCATTTGGGCTCAGAATACAGACTTCAACCACAATTTCCACATGAATCTTGAATTGCCATTGGCTGAAGCAGATTTATTCCATCATCAGCAAACCCCAAACCATGGGGGAATCTCACCTGATGCTCTGACCATAGTCTCCCAAACCCAGTACACCTTCTGGATCACTGGGGCTGAGATTTAAAATGTAACATTCACAGTGGCCCTTTTCTTTCTTTTTTAGTTTATTCCTGTATTCCTGTACCTTTCTAATACAGTGTATTCCTGTACATTCTAGTACATCCCCAGCCACCGCACTGAGTTTTTTGCCTCAAAAGGTACATGACAACAGCTTGTGGCCAGACACAGCAAAGAGTGGCCATTACCTTTCTGTGGTACCAAACACTACCTGTACTTGGGCTCCCTTTTCCAACATGGCTTTTCATCTCTGGTTTCCCACTGCCCTCTATCAGCTGCCTGTGCCTAGAGTATCATTCAGAAGAGCTACAGAATGGATTTAGTTTGGCACAGAACACCAGGCCTGGGCCAGAGCCTCCATGTGGGCTCCTTTCCTGAAGGCCAATGTAGGTGGGAGAATTTCATGGCAGATGAGGATTTTGCTGATCAAGAAAGCAAGGCTCTTTCATGGGGAGGCCACTTCATTCAAAATCTACATGACTTGGCAGCCCAAGGAGCCTTTTCCTTGCATGCCTGTCAGTTCTGCTGGCAGCACACGGGCAGTCCGAGCTTGTGCTTCATGGATTTCACAGCCCCTGGATGGCTTTGTACTGTGTGCCAAATAGGGAACAACAGCCTAAGAAAACAAAGCTTGTGCTATCATGCAACCTGGGAGGGATTTAGTCTCCATGTAAATGTTTCCAATGAGCAATTGTGTGAAGGTCACAATTTACATTACAGTGATTGCCCACCGCAGGAGGCACCAGCGTGGTTAACCTCCTTCTCCATGTGCATCATATCAGCAGAAACGGGATGGACTAGTGTTACATTGTCATACTGCTCTTTGGGGATCCTGGTTTACAGTTCAGCTTTGGCTGGCAAACAATTCTTGATTCTTCTATGTGAGAAGACCATTTCAAACCAGGCAAGGAACAAAGCACTTGCATTTCAAAGCATGGAGGAGACCATTTCTAGTGGAGCCTCTCTATCTTTAGCAGCTCAGGAAGGCTCTTTGCTGTGTATGTTTTGTTGAACCCTTTTCAAGTGCTCCTAGTGCAAAGTGTGGGAGTTCACTGTTGAGATTGACCTTTCTTGTCCACACAGAAAAGTGTGCCTCTCCATTCCTGCTCCACCACCACGTTCCTCAGCCTGCAGAGCAGCGGGTTGCGCAATGGAGTGCAGAATGCCACGCTGTGGTGTCTGACCTTTGAAGGCCTTGCTCCAAAAGAGTGTGGTTTTGCCAGGTGAGTTTTAAGAAGCACTTACCCAGCAGAACTGATGCCACCGATCATCAGCTTGCAGCAGCCATGTTCTTTGCTTCAATAAATAACCTTCCCATGCAGAATACACATCTGGCTCTATGGCAGAGATTTCCTTAGTTTTGAAATCTTTGGTTCTTGGAAGTGTTTCATTTTGGAGAAGCCTCTGGAAAACAATCAGACAATCACAGAGAAAAACTGCATTACAGAATCACAGAATCACAGAATGCCAAGGGTTGGAAGGGACCTCGAGAGATCATCTGGTCCAACCCCCCTGCAAGAGCAGGGTAACCCAGAGTACATCACACACGAACTTGTCCAGGCGTGCCTTGAGTATCTCCAGTGTGGGAGCATTAGGTCAGAGGTGCTTCTGCATCACCTTTCTTCCCCGCCACGCATCCCTTTTCCTTCCCCTCTTTAAGGACCATTTCAGCAGGTGCTATATTTAGACCCATCACTTTTACAGACCTGGTAAACATGTCCTGCTACCGGCAATGTGGTCTGACTGGACTTTTGAAGGAGATGGTGAAATGAGTTGTGTTTGGCTCAGCCTGAAGGGCTGCCTGGCACAGATCTTTGCAGGGAGCAGAAAGGAAACCTGCCTCTGGGAGCATGCAGACACCCAAACACTGCAGGAAGGGTGGTATTACTCACAGTAGTTGGTGCTGGGGGTTGTGTAGGATGGCACTTGACCTTGGAAGCAATTTGAGACAGCGACAAGGTTTCCTTCGCTGTGTTTAACAGCCTGGCATTGGCTCTGCTCAGGAACAGGACTCCTAGACCATAAACAAATACATACAAATAGTAGTGGTCAGTTGAAGGAGCAAGTAGCCACTCAGTCCTGAAAATGCACTATTTGTGCAGTTGTTAATTCTCCTCATTCTGTCCCTCAATGCTGCACTGGCCATTATGCAATCTGCCATTTGTCTCCATAAATCCAACTAGATTTCAGTGCTGCTGTGTTGTCGTTACCCCATCAGCTGGTGCTGGTGATGTATTGACTGGCAACACCACCAAATCCCCAGGGGACACCTTGTGATGCCCCTGAAGCAAAATGCACCTAACCAGGCATGGTGGACAGAATGAGGCTTACTGACATGTGTGGGTATCAGAGGCAGATTGAGACTGACAGGGAAGTAGTGAGTGGCAAAGGCTGGGAGAGAGATCCAATGCAGCTCTGCAATTGCTGAGGCTGACATTTAAATTGCAGGCAGCCATGGGCCCATTCCAGGAGCCGCTTGTGGTTGGATGAAGGTTTGATCATGGAGAGGAGAAGCAGGAAAAGAAAAAGGGGGGAAAAAAGAAAGAAAAATCAAATTGTTCTCGGAAATCATGTTTAATGTAGAAATCTGGTTAATATTAAACTGTAATCTGCAGTTTTCAAGTACACTATTCCTCCAGGAAAACGTTTCCTGTTTGAGTATTAAGGGTTCCCTTATTACATCACTTCCTATGTCAGACCCAACAAGCCTTCAACATGCATTAGTGTATTGATAATGGGAATTTCAAAATGATTGTTTTGGGGAAAAAAAACCTATCTGGGCAATACTCCAATCATATGGATCAATTTAGCTTTGGAATAATGGGGCCAAGCTGGTATTTTTGACACTGTGTCCAAATAGTACTTTCCGGAGAGGTGTTCTCCATTGCAATTCAGTTTCAGGAGCATGTATGTGTTTGGCCATCAATTATAGCACCAGGTCGATTTATTCCCTGCTAAACTGACTTTGCAGGCAGAATTCCCCTTAATCCCACACAAATTGCAAATTGATAACTGTGCCTGGACTGGAATGAACATTACGCACCCAAGTGTAATAATTTATATTAATAATAATAATAACCCACAAAATACCTGGACACTTTAACACACAGCAAAGACATATATTACCCCAAAAAGCCCAACCACTAATAACCAATTCTGCCAGCAAATGTACACACAACCCTGAAAGCCTCACAAATTATGAGAAGGAATTCTTGCAGGAAGACACCACTTATGCTTTCTATAAAATACTGATGGAAAGAGCTTTCCAGACCTGTTGACAAGACCAGAAGAAGGCCAGAACTCCACTTTTAGCTCTATCAGGCTTAAAGATCGTTCATGGTTTAAGATTTTAGCTATCACGGGGTGATCCATGAGTCTTCAGCAGGAATGTCATAGGTCACTGACAGCATCACGGTTACTTAAAGACTAACTGGTTCAGAAACTTCTCAGCCTAACTTTGGTTCAGCTAAATACAACTCTCATTGTGGAAAGAGAGAAAGGATTGAAAAATTCAATTTGAAATCTCTTTATGAATCCAAAATAAGATTTAATTTGGGGAAAAAAATCAAGAAAATGAAACTCAAACCAACATATTTCTACAGGAATCTAAATGCAATGTTTTCATTAACTGCAGTGTGCACTGGCTTGAAAAAGGCCTTACATTATCTGATGGCAATGAATTCTTGGATGGTGTATACACTGCTTTTCTTGGAATTATGGTGATTTTCAGCACAAGAAGTCACTGCTCTGTTAGATAAGGAAGTTGTCTCCTAAACGTTCCACATGCGCTTCTATGTACACTCAGTCACTGGAGTCAGACCTGTTCTCCCTAGAAAAGGTTAATGTCAGCTGCTCTGATTGTACCAGATGATTATTCCTTTTGATAGGTAATTTAGTTCTCTATGAAAGCCTCTAGACCTTAAAATATCTTCTAATAGGACCACTGTCTCTTTGAATGCACCTTTGTATTACTTGATGAAAAAGAATTTTACTTCAGGATTTAACTATAGCTGCATTTCCATCACCTGAGCCTAGATTCTTTTTTCGTTTTCTAAGCCCTGACCTGCTATTGGAGCCGCCACCAGCCTGATTTTCACAGAGCACCACCAGGAGCCAGTTGTCTTCAGTGGCACTCAATGGGCACAAGCACAACCTTGCCTTTCCTAAAGGAATAATGAACGTTAGCTGTGCTGAGATACATGGCTATCATTGCTAAATCCAACCACTGTAATGAACTGGCATTTATTTAACATGTAAAAATAATCTTAGTGAAATAAATGATAAAGTCAACCAGGATACCTATAGTCCCAGCAAAACATAACGTACATTCTAAACTTGTCATCAAATTCTTTCTTTTCTTAGCAAAGACAGCACGGGTATTTCTGACGTATTCAAAAGTGTCCAAACCATGTGTTACATATCAGGAAATGGATCAATTTTCATACTGTTCAAGATATGTGGCACTACGCATTATATTTGAATGTATCATCACAGCATGGAATTCAAATGCAAGGAAAAGGGATCAGATTTGTATATGCTGCACTTTATGTATGTTATCCTCTTTTATTTACCTGCATATGTGAAGAAATGTATCAAAAATTTACACAGATTCTTCACTCTTTGCTAATATTGAAAAGAAAACCCCCCATTTTCTTTAGATGAGGTTAGGAAAGAGGTAAAGCAATAAAAATACTCTTTAAGTTGTGTTCTCTGATGTAATTCATTTGAAATCTATGTCAGATGATGAAAAAAAACGCTGTTGCATTGAAAACAGGCTGAGAATGAAAATACCCTTTCCTCTCACTTATACCAGGCAAATACAGCGAATTAGTTCAGAGCAATAGGTCAGTTTTGCTGCTGGAATAACTTAAACTGGCTTCAGAAGTCAGCTCTGTGGGACGTGCCCTTCTTCCTCGCAAAGTAACGTGAAATCTGCAGTGATACACAGACAAGTCTGGACTCGGCTCTCCTGATGCTCGCATCAATGCACAGAGCAAGATTTGCCCAAGAGAACTGGACCAGAGCAAAGTGGGATCAGTCAGCCCTTGGCATTTTACCCAAACCCTCCAGATTTAGATGAGCCCGAAGTTAAGTGGGGACAGTGACTAAACCAGAGTGAATCAAGGTGTTTCCATTGAGCTCTGCAGCCAAAGATCTGGCCCTGGGCCCACGCGCAGATTTAGATGGGGTAACAGAAAGCAGCCTGCATCCCTCCGCCACCCCGTTGTCTGCCCCTCTCCCTCCTGCTAATGCCGGGCAGAGTAAATCCCGCTGCCGGCCCGGCCTCCGGAGCTGCAGCTTGTAAAGAGGCTGCTGCAGACTGGCGGAGTCATACCCTAGAACAACAAAATCCATTGGCAATAAGGGAGCCGAGAGCAAGCGGCTCATTTTTCAAGGGCTTTCTGCCCCGGCTCCATGCAGGAGCCAGCCTCACAGACTGCCCAATATTTTCATCATTAACTGAGCTGAACGTTCATAATTTGTAAACACAATAAAAAGAGCTTTGAGACACAGGGCGTGCAGTCAGAGGGAGAGTGTGTGCGATGGGGGAGCGCTGCCGGGCTGAGGGGCAGGATGGGGGACGTTTCCTCAGGCAATTTACATTTGACTCAGGAAAGCTGGGAGGGTGCCCGCTGCAGTGAAGGGATCAGGCTCACGACTCAAAGCGATTTTTCTTGAAGTGTCACTGCAACATACAACCACCATGTGTTCTTTCTTGGCTCCGCTTTCCCTGCTGATGCTCCAACGCCTGGACCGGCTGCTCCTGCCTGCCCGGTTTGCATCCGTTTGCTTCAGCAGCGAAAAGGACAGAACTGCGTTTTGATGCATGTAAGGGTGCTCCCCTGGCCCTCCTCCTCCTCTCCCCTCCATGAAAAGGGGCCCTCCTGACTTTTGGGATCTGGACAAAAGTGCTAAGGGTTAATGGACAACAAGGTCTAGGATGTGTGTCTCTGTATGGGAGACAGAGGCTGTGAGGGGAAAAGGAATGAAATACTTCAGCAGCAATCCAAATTGCGTTTGCCAGACTCAGCCACCTCTGCTGATCTGCCAGCTCCTACCCAAAAATGAAAGCCCTGATCCAGTATTGTTCTGCACTTGGGCTCATCCCTTACGCTGGTTTGAATAGGTGCAAAATGCTTCAGCTCAGAACCAGACCCACGCTGGGATCCCTGAGCTTGTAAGAAGTAATGGGATTAGCTGGGGCTGGGAGCAATCAGAGCACCAGGGGAGTAGCGTGTCTGAAGGCTGTAAGTAACTGTCAGTCCCACCGTGCCGAAAGAGGACACTGATTCGGTGCTGTTTCACAGGGATGATTTAATCCTCACCACCATCTGGATTCTAGCTGGAGGCCACCCACTCAAGCACTGACCAGCAAGCACGTTGCTTAGCTTGGATGATTTGATGCGATCGCGACCTGAGGCTGTAGAGCTGTCATAGGGGAAGAAATACAAAACAGCTTCGTTTACAGAACCGAGTTCAGTTTCAACTCCCAGTGAAAAAAACACCCAAAACAAAACCCCAAAAGAATTTAAAATATAGTAATTCTGAGAGTTGCAAAATCTCCTGTGAGTGACAGCAGTTTCAGTGGGGCACACGGTAGTGATTTATGTCTTGAAACAGGCAGCTGGCATGGCTGCAATCAGAGCCACGGCTCTCCTGACCGCTGCCAAGTCAGTGCAGCACTGACACGCCAGGTCCCAATGATTCTATCACCTTCCTCTGCTCCATCGTGGGTTTCTCCTCTTGGCGGCCAGCAGCATGGCTGCAATGCAGCATTAGGATGAAGAGGGATGCTGGACATGCTTGGCAACAGCCACAGCTCAGCTCGGGCCATGCAGCGGGGGCGAGGTGCTGGAGGCAGTGCTAAGCAGAGAATGACACGTCGACCTTACTGCATGGAAATGCCTCTGAAGCAGCCAAGAGCCAGCCAGCACACGCCTGTGGATGTAAGGACCATGCAACACTGACTTCTCTCTTCTGCATTTTGGGGTTTTTTTTAAGGATATTGTTTTTGTAGGCATGATAAAGCAGGACAGCCTCAAGTCACTGATATGGTTGACTTGCTCTGGTGCATCTTAACTCCTCCGTTGCCAAACTCCAATGTTCTCCTTTTGCTGTTTTTCTGGGGTCACCTGGATTTCTCTTAGTCCATCCTTGCTAGAAATCTCCTTATTTGATATTCTGGGTCTCAACTAGATCTCACTTGCAGCAGCTCTCCCCTTCTGCAATGCTAAGACCTGTACAGCTCAGCTAATGTACGCTGATCTTCACCTGCAGAGAGATTTTCACTCTCAGCCTGGTGTCCCTTCTGATCTGTGTCATATCCCAACCCAAGATGCCATCAGCACCAGCTCTCTGAGCTGCCCCACCACTGGCTGTTGCTGGTTTTCCCTTAAGGAGACCTGAAAGCATGAGGTGCCTTGACTGAGCGCATCAGTAGAGGGCTTTTTGGAGGACCACTAAAGATATAGGAGACTGCAGTCTCCAACCCACCTTTTGGACCCCCTTGATGTCTTTGCTCCCACTGACTGCATTGACTAGTCTTCTAACTGAGCTGCCTAAATGAGGTGTACAACATCCCATGGGGTAAGTATGCCTCCGAGTTTATCAGCCTGGGTGGTAATGGAGCTAACAATGTCAGAGGGAAAGAGCATGCCTACATGTTCTCCAAGCCGTCCGGATCCGAGCCAGCTCCAGCCTAGCAGCCTTCTAGCTGCATTAACGTGGCACCTCGCCCAAACTAATAAGTCCTGTGGAGAGGCGCCATGTTAACATGGCCATAAAGCTTCCAGATTGGAACAGCTTCCCGGGCAGAGCCTGGCTCTGTCAGCACGGGGAGAGGTAGAGCTCGTTGCTGCTGCTGGTCCTCATTTTACAATCCAATTTCAGCAGAGGCAGAAGACCTCCCAGCTTAGCTGTGCCCCTCGGCACGGGGCAAAGGTGCTGCCCTCGCAGCACCCTCCAGCACAAACTGGTCGATGTCAGGTGGTTTCACCTTCTTCCTCCCATGCAAAGTCCTCTGTGCACAGGCACACACGAGTTTTGGTCTGATTTATTCAGCTTTGAAAGCAAACAAACACCATTTTGGCCTGGAATAAGACGGCCAAATTACAGAAAGGAACGCCACGTCCTTGTTTCTTGTGATGCTTTTGTGCTTTTCGTTAAATGAAAGATAAATGGCAGATAATGACTCACTCATCTCCATCCACCTTATAAGCCCCGCAATCAAACCTTATTGCACAGGCATCTAAGGTATGTAGTGCTGAAGAAAAGTGTTTGTCAGGAGGGATAGAGAACAAAGGGTACCTGGAGGTTAGTAAATGTTTTTCATGGGTTCTGTAAGCTGTGGTTTCCTCTATTGGGGGTGTTACACACTTTCGGCTTTCGAGCTCCTCTGTCAGACACCCAGCCAAACAAGGGAGTGATTAGCAGAGCTCCCTCGTTGAGGCTATTGTTGTAGGTATGGTTTTAATACACCCACAGTTCTTGGCACTGACGTTCATTTTCTGACTCCAGGAAATCTTGAACTGTTTATTGATTCAAAGGCAAGAAATAGAACATTGAGATGGAGCTAATTGGCCAGAGACACAATCTGCAAGTCACCCAAATAAATATTGCCATTAATTGAGCCCTAGTTTTGTGGGAGGAAAAAGTAGCCTGGTTTTAACAGCGATAATTTCTTGCAAATCTATGTTTTATTGGTTTGTTTTTCCATGGAGAGACCCTGAAGTGCAGGCTCACTTGAAGACACACCGACGTCACAACACGAGAGCCGAGTGCCCAAGCCCTCAGTTTGGTGGCTCTGGCACAGATGGAGCCTGGCCTTGCTCTGAGGAAGGGGGGTTAAATCTGCCAGTGACATTTCAGTGTTTGCACAGGAAAAGAGCCCGCAGAGACCTCTGGCCCTGGCAACCTGGCTGCTTGTTTCTGCTTATGAATGCTCTTCCGTGGCAGATGGGATGGGATGTGCCTCAGATACGTGAATTGGGCATTCACTGTCCTGGTGAGAGCCGCACAAGCCTGCGTTAACCACTAAAGAACATTCTCTCCTATGTTGGGATTCTTTCTGGGCTCTTTCAGTTTTGCCTTTCCATCCTCAGAACTATCGATGGGCAGACACTATCCCAAGCTTCTTTAGGGAAAAAGGAACCCATGCTTTAGT